ACCTATATGGGGAAATAATCTAAAAGAGATATTTTTATATGTGTATGATTCACTGTGCTATACACCTGGAACTAACACAGCATTGTGAATCAAAAAAAATTCAATATGGAGCAAACAACTAATCTATAAAAATCCAAATCTAGAGTGTCAGTGTCACTCATAGAACATCTGAGATCCCAGGTAAGTAAGAGACTTGAATGATGAAGAGGAGAGGAAATGAGAGTTAAGTGGTAAACTTAGCAGACACCCAGACCTAGATGGGCCAGAGTGACAAAGTCAGCACCTGTTCAAGGTCCTGAGGACACTCACTCACAGGTCATGGTTAGTTTAGATCTTCTCAGAGCAATGGGAGATTGTCAGCACGCTTTAAGCAAGGGAGGAAGTATTCGAGATGAGGAGCATATGTGTGAGCAGGGAGACCACTTAGCAGGAGAGAAATGGTGATGCTTCTTCAGGATTTCCCTGCCCCTGCGTGTGTGGGGAGCCAGAGGTTCACTGGCTCCCTAGAAATCCTTGCTTGGTCAGTTGACTCCAGGGTCTCCCACTGAGCTATACAAAAACTCTTGCTGGAGGTGGAAGGCTTGCAGGCTCTCACCTTTCCATGAATCATTTAGAAGGGAAACAAAAGCATGCTTAGGTAAAAAGATCCGTGAACTCCAGGTCAGGATCAAATTCCTGTCCCAAACGTAAGATTTCTTTTTTCCCTTCAGGGTGTGTAGGTGTATTTAAAAAGCAAACTGCTTTCATTCAGTCACCGTTTCCTAGCAACCCCCACCCCCCCCCGCAAAAAAAAGCATCTATTTTTCTGAATGTCTGTGAACACCAGCCCAGTGGATCCTCAAGCACGCCTCCAGAAGCACAGAGAGAACAAAAGCGCTGGGATCACCCTGGCTGATGAGAGATTCTGAAAGGGGAATTTCTCAATAGAACTCAGTCTGAAAGGCCTGTACCATAGATGTGGGGTACAGAGTGGGGACCTGCTGGAGGGTGTAGATATTCTTAAAGGGTGCGCTATTCCTATGGAAAATGGGGGCTGTGATCTCTGGCAGAAGGAGGTGGTTTCTATGAAACAGCTAATGCACGAGATGGCTGACACCTTTTTAGCGCTCTTTTTTGTGTATTTCCAGCCAGAATCTTGTTTCATTAAAACTCTATAGACCGAAAAGAGGGGTGACTGGCTGAATTCAAATTAAAGCTGAACAGAATCTATGTAAATGCTCCTCTTTCAACCAGGCACAATGCATGTAAGTCACTGAACTGGACAGCTGGCAGAAACCCCTCCAATCATTCAATGCTTGTTTTACAGAGGAGGAAACATGAAAACACAGAGAAGCAAATTCACCCATCGGCTTCACAGGGTCTGCTGACCTCTGGCCTTGTGGAATGGAAGTTGCTCATATTTTAAAAATCTTTTACAGGAATTTTCTGGAGGTCCAGTGGTTAAGACATCACACTTTCACTACTAAGAGAATGGGTTCATTCCCTGGTTAACAAACCAAGATCTCACAAGCCGAGAAGTATGGCCAAAAACAGGAAAAAAAAAAAAAATCTGCCTATTATGCCACACTGAATGATAAGGGGGAAGGAAAATGGGTCTAAGAGAAAGTTGTCCCAACAACCAAGAGACTCATATTTTATAATTGGTGTGTCTGAAATTCCAAGTACTAGCTCAGAATTAGAAAACAAGAATATGGGACCTAATTAAACTTAAAAGCTTTTGCACAACAAAGGAAACTATAAACAAGGTGAAAAGACAGCCCTCAGATTGGGAGAAAATAATAGCAAACGAAGCAACAGACAAAGGATTAATCTCAAAAATATACAAGCAACTCCTGCAGCTCAATTCCAGAAAAATAAATGACCCAATCAAAAAATGGACCAAAGAACTAAACAGACATTTCTCCAAGGAAGACATACAGATGGCTAACAAACACATGAAGAGATGCTCAACATCACTCATTCTCAGAGAAATGAAAATTAAAACCACAATGAGGTACCATTACACGCCAGTCAGGATGGCTGCTATCCAAAAGTCTACAAGCAATAAATGCTGGAGAGGGTGTGGAGAAAAGGGAACCCTCTTACACTGTTGGCGGGAATGCAAACTAGTACAGCCGCTATGGAGAACAGTGTGGAGATTTCTTAAAAAACTGGAACTAGAACTGCCATATGACCCAGCAATCCCACTTCTGGGCATACACACCGAGGAAACCAGATCTGAAAGAGACACGTGCACCCTAATGTTCATCGCAGCACTGTTTATAATAGCCAGGACATAGAAGCAACTTAGATGCCCATCAGCAGATGAATGGATAAGGAAGCTGTGGTACATATACACCATGGAATATTACTCAGCCATCAAAAAAGAATTCATTTGAATCAGTTCTAATGAGATGGATGAAACTGGAGCCCATTATACAGAGTGAAGTAAGCCAGAAAGATAAAGACCAATATAGTATACTAACACATATATATGGAATTTAGAAAGATGGTAACGATAACCCTATATGCAAATCAGAAAAAGAGACACAGATGTACAGAACAGACTTTTGGACTCTGTGGGAGAAGGTGAGGGTGGGATGTTTAGAGAGAAATGTATATTATCTAGGGTGAAACAGACCACCAGCCCAGGTTGGATGCATGAGACAAGTGCTCGGGCCTGGTGCACTGGGAAGACCCAGAGGGATCGGGTAGAGAGGGAGGTGGGAGGGGGGATTGGGATGGAGAATACATGTAAATCCATAGCTGATTCATGTCAAGGTATGACAAAAGCCACTACAATATTGTAAAGTAATTAGCCACCAACTAATAAAAATAAATGGAAAAAAAAAAAGAAAACAAAAATAGGTTAAAGCAAAGGCTAAATCTTTTGCTTTTAAAAAGACATCTAAGCCCCACTCCAGTCAAGGAATTGAGGTAAGGCAAATGTTTATCAACAACAGTTTTTCTAATTATTGAATTGGAAGCATGATAACGCAGTCTTGCATAAATGCTAGCCTTTAGGGAGTTGTGGGATGTTAGGGTGAAATGTGCTCTGGATGATGTTAACCAGCCTCATCACAGTTCAGACAACACCTGAGACTGGGGTGCAGCTGAGCCAAGAGGCTTGGCCATGGCCACAGCAGTCAGTGGTGGGGCCGACTTCACATTCTGGCATCTGGTCTCTCCAGGCCCAGCGCTTTCCCTTGTCTAAGCCACGGAAAACCTTTCTGGCTTGCAGTGTCCTCTCCCAGTTGACTCTCCTGTAGGGCATGACAGTCCTGTCTTTATCTTTACTTCAGTTCCTATGGAATGCTCCAGCTTTATTCCCTTTTCTACATCCCATCCAAGGCTTCAGCAGATGAAGCCACAGCAAGTGTGGCCCAAGATAATTTAATTGATAATTTAATTGATTTGGTGAAGAATTTGGGCTCCCCAGGTGGCTCAGATGGTAAAGAATCTGTCTGCAATGTGGGAGACCTGGGTTTGATCCCTGGGATGGGAAGATCCCCTGGAGGAGGGCATGGCAACCCACTCCAGTATTTTTGCCTGGAGAATCCCCATGGACAGAGGAAGAAGCCTGGCAGGCTATAGTCCATGGGGTCACAAAGAGTCAGACATACTAAGTGACTAGGCCCAGGTGAAGAATTTATTTAAATCAGTGGCATCCAGTTATTGTTGGAGAGCTTAATCGAATAAAGCTTAATGTTTATATGTTACAATTTTAGAAGTTTTTAAAGCTTTTTTTCCCCAACCATTTTGGAGTAGTGATTTAAAAACATGTGCATGATTTCAAAAGTAAAGAAGATAATATAATGAATATCCATAGGCCTGTAATTCCAGAGTCAACAAATGTTAACAACTTTCTTAGATGTGTATTAGCCAGGGTTCTCCAGAGAAACAGAAACAATATAGGGAGAAAATTAGTTTATCAAACTGACTCAGATGATTGTGGTGGCTTGACCGGTCCAAATGTCTGATGGGGTCAGCAGGCAGGATGGAGACTTAACAAAGAGCTGCAGTTCAAGTCTGAAGGTGGTCTGCTGGCAGAATTCCTTCTTGTTCAGAAAGATCAGCCTTTGTTCTTTTAAGGCCTTCAGCTGATTGGATGAGGCCCACCCACATAAGGAGAGTCATCTGCTTTACTCAAATTCCACTAATTTAAACGTTAATCTCCTTCAGAAACCAAAGGAGTTTGTGCAAAAAAAAAAAAAAAATCAAAATAATGTTTGACCGCATATATGGGCAGAGTGGCCCAGCCAAGGTGACATATAAAATTAACCATCACAATTTGCTTTAAATTTTTTTTAAAGAAATAAAACACTGCAGAATAAAGTTGATATCCCATTTATATACCTATCTCTGGCACCCCATTCAATGGTGATAATTTGTAAAAAACTAACCCCTTTTTGTGACGTCAGGCCCAGTCACCTGAGCTTTAATTTCTGGTTCAAAGCAGGGGTGAGAATTGAAAATATGGCCTCACCTTTGTCATCACCATGTGTTTCTACAAGGACCTGCTGGCCACAGAAAGTTGTATACAGGCTCGATAGAAAATGCCATCACGAGCCATGAACCAGGTGGATTCACAGAGAGTCACGATGTTGAATGCACACAGAACTCAAACACATTCAGATCACAAACCATCTGTGTTTGGATGCTTCTGCCTATATAGTCTCATCCACGATTATATGAGCCGTGTCTGTTTTACTTGTGAGTTTATTACAAGAATAAGTAAATGATGAATATTGACAAAAAATTTGGAAGGAATAAGAAATGTCAGACAAACTCAAGGCTGGCAGGCAGCTTTCTGACCTGGAACCTGCTGGATGAGAGGCCTGCTCTCAGATCCCTTCCAAAGCCTAGGACTCCATGACTGGTATTAGGAGTGATAGCATCCTTTACTCAAATTCTCTCTGATTTGCTGCTGTAGCTTCAAGGCTCAGAGAGGCTGGGTCTTTCCAAAGGATAAAGGTGCAGTGTAGCTGCAGTTACCTGCTCAGCTGGATAAGCCTTTAATCATGGAAAGAAGGCTCCTAAAGAAGGAAATGAAAAAGCTCCTGTAAGTCTGATGGAAAATAGCTTACATTTATTGCACTGAGCATTTGGCGGGTTGTACGTCATAGATGGTCTGGATATTGGCAGAGGGGTTAATAGCCTAAGGAAGAATTTGTTCCCATGGTGTAGGAGAGAGCCAGATGATCTGGCCTCTGTTTCCTGCCCCCAAAGGCCTCACATGTGGTGCAAAGCAGGATGCTAAATCTCTAGAGAGGATGTTTCTGCCAGCAGCATACACAACTGAGACATCCCTACTCTAGAGCCTAGGATCTGAGCTGAGAGCTCCAGTCTGCGCTGGGCAGGGTATGCCTTTGAAAGGGTTCGACTAGTAAAAGACATGAATGAGATTCCTTAAAAATATGTACCCAAGGATGCAGCATTTATATTGCAGCCTCTGCTTCTTCTATTGTGAATCTTATCAGTTAAATAATTTATCTCTATCTTTTGCCATCCAAACTTCATTTTAAACACATAAAGAAAACATTAAGTTTTCCAATGGAAATTTTTTTCTCCTGTGGTAGCTTTTCATTGACTTGATACTTTGTTAAGAGATTGGTGAAAATCAAAGGCCATATAAAAAGGGGAAAAAAGGTTATTATGGTTCTATTTCATGATTATAGGCATAGCAGTAATACACTTTTATTAAAAACCTCATTATGGTCCCCATTAAATATCTTTTATCTGCCTACTAAGATAATTATCTGTTAACAAGTGCTTAAGAAATGATGTAATATGAATTCATGCATTTTACATGTGAGTTTGGAGGTCAACATAATAAAGAACAAACCATAGTTAGGAATGCCAGTTCCTCTACATATTTCATCCAAAGAACTGGAATTTCAGAACTAATACAAATATAAACATGTATATACATATATATATGTATGCATATACATACATATATATACAGTTTAATTTTATCCAAAAGAATCCATTTAGGCTACTTCAAATAAAATGTCTTGAAATTACAAAGCAAAACTTCAATAATTTTTATCCATCTAGAATAGCTTAATGACACAAAAGAGCTTTAGAATCCAAAAGCAAATTTATATCCAGCACAGGAACTTGCCCAAAGTGTTGGTAAAGACCTTGACCAACAGAACTCTCCTTATGTAACACTGTGAGATTGACCTTGGAGACCCCAGAGTCCTTTTTCCTATATCCAGTCTCTCCTCCCAAGTTTCCTAGGGTAGTCCCTCTTTCTATTCACCTCCAAGGGCCCTTATTCTACTCTCCCCTTATTAAAAGTCCGTTAGGGAAGAACCTGATAAATATACACTAAAGTGGAACCACTAATACGTTTTTATGTCTAACCCTCCTAATGGTATTTTCATTTTAACAGGGGAAAAAAGCCTTCAAGCTAACTAACACATCTGTACGGCATGTCATATATCTGGAAGTTATCAACTTTAGACATTCTGCCTGAATTTAGCAAGGGCAGCAGGGGAATCTTCAAAGAGAGGGTCTCAGTCCTTTTGGTTTTGTAGCATCTGTTCTGCCTATTGGGGTTTATCATACTCCCTGCTTTCCTAGGAATTCAGTTCTATGTGAGTTTTATTTGTTCATTATGGTTGGACACTTTAAATCTGCAGGGTTGCAGAATGGCTGTTTAAATCAAAATGAATATTGATTCAGCTACCAGATCCACTGGTGACTTCTCTTGTATTTGGTGGAGGAGGGAGGAAATGGGGAGGGATCTTTGGCAGACTGTGCTTCTGTGTCATTCCTGCTAGTTCAATCCTGCTCTCTTGCTTTTAAGGGGAGATTATATTGGCATCAGACTTCGGGAAAATGAATTTGACCCCAAAGGAAGAAGGCAACTCACCTTTCTAGATGATATGGTAAAGAAAGGCATGCTGCCGTGAATCACATCTGCGTCGTATGTGTGTTACAGGGAGGAACAGGATCTAATGTTTGTCATAAATGAGGCTAATCTTGATCCTCTTCTCCCAGAATGTCCTCTTTCTCATCTGTCATCCTAGGATTGTCCGTGTGGTCTTTTCAACTCATTAAACTGAAAGCAAGAAGAATGACAGAATAAAACGTCATGAGACTTTCGCTATTTATTTTCTTTTAGGAGAGAAAAGATGAAAAAGCAAAATGAGCACATGATTAAAAGTATGACAGCCATGATGTTAAACACCTTTTGATGAGATTAAACTACTATTGTATAGTTCTCAAATGCAATAATTTTTTACCATTCATGGAGAAAGCCAAGTAATTGAATAATCCTAAGTTCCTGTTATGATACCTGTTGAAACTCAGATTCATGTTATGCAATCAAAGTTACTTCACATAAATTAAAGAAGCTGTGAAGAGGTCTAATTCAAGAGAGATTAGTAAGCCCTCAGCCTTTTTATGCTACCCATTTGCTGTTCTTGTGCTAAGGAGGAAGACAGGACCACGTGTCTCCCCTTCCTCCTGCCCATCCCTGTCTGATGTCCCTGGTGCTGAATGAGCAGTTAAGGAAGGCTTCATGTTCTATACTACTTCTCTATGCATGTATTAAATAGAGAAATTAAATCGATTAGATAAGTGCTGCTCAAACTTTAATGAGGTCTTATTACAAGACCATTTTGATTCAGGTCTGGAGTGAGGCTAGAGACGTGCATTTCTAATGAGCAAACAGGTGAAGGTGGCACTACCCATCCGGGCATCAATCTACTGATTAGGTTTCAGCAAGTGATTACTGCCTTTCTTTTTTTCCTCCGTTCCTTCCCTTCCTCCCTCCTTCCTTCCCTTTCTCTCTTTTTCTTTCTCTTTTCAGTTTGGTTCAGTGCCTGAAAGAAATAATTTCATTGTTACATCTTATAGAGAATGTTACCATTACGTAGAACCTTGGAATTCATCTACAAGCACAAAAACAAAACTGACCTTCCTTCTTCAAACTGAGAAGGAATGATTTGACAGATAAACGGTGAATACACTTAGAAATGACCAGGAAAGGGTGGTCAATATGGTAAGAATGAACACTGAATTGGTCCTTAGCTTTTTACCACATAGAAGACAAGTCACTTACCCAAGTCTACCTCCAGTTCCCTGCTTCCGCTGGACCCTCAGCCTGGGAGGTCCTTCACCTATGGAAATTCTCCTCATCCTTCAAGCCCAGCTCTGCCGAAGCCACTTCTCTGAGTCTCTAGGGACTCCCCCAACTCATCAGGTGGACACATTTCTGTGATGTGTGACCTTGGGAGCACATTTCTGATGTTGCACCAAATTAGAAATTGTTCTCTATGTCCCTCTTCCTCTACCTTCCCCTTTTTAAAAATTCAGGGAAGTTGAGGCCCAGAGAACAGCAATTGCTCACCCAAGGATATAGTACCATGAGTTGTTAGCGGTAACCTAGATTTGAACCCAGATTCCCTGAGCCCCAATTTAGTATTTCATGAATCTATCTATCATTTCTGGCACCCCCACCCACCCACCCAACACACACGCATTGGTCTAGTGGGGGGTTAAATGTAATGCCGGAAGAACACTAGTTATCTCTATCTGAGCATCAGGTTACTGGACCCAGCTGGTGATGCTCACTGTTGTGGGCGTGACGAAAGGGGAGAACAGGCTTAGCAGTGCCTTTGTCATGGCCAGGGTGAGCTTCAGTCACTGTCTCAGGCTGTTCCTTTGTTCTCTGTGCTCCCTGCTTCCAGGCACACTATGACTTGGCCATCAACGTTGCTTTGCAATGGCTGGATCACTCAGAAGACTTAACTTGGCTGGAGTGGGAGAAAGTGTAAGTTGAATAGTCCTTGTTCCTGGTTTGTTTTTTTTTTAAACAATGAGTAATGACAGAGGAAGTTTATCACAAGGCATTCTGATTTGAAAATACTATGGAGTATTGGTCTCCAGCTAGAAACCTGAAAAAATCTCACAGTCATCAGTCTGACGAAGTCTTGTCCGTGCTTACATATTTTGCATCCATGTGAATTGGTTTCTGTCAGATACAGATCTTTCTTGCATAATATGTTTTGTCTTAGAAATATAACTGTGCTTTATTGTGTACATGCCCTGATTTTTTAAAAAATGATCAGTTTTGTGGGTAAAGCTGCAATCTTTTCCCAAGGACTATCAAACATAACTTCTTAAGCATTTGACTAGATGTGTACCTGAGTTAAGCAGTTTGAATCACCACTGTTTGAATGCTTGCCAGCACTATTGTCATTTTCTCCCATATGTGGGGCTTTCCAGGTGGCGATAGTGGTAAAGAACCAGCCTGTCAATACAGAAGGCCTAAAAGACGTGGGTTCGATCCCTGGGTCAGGAAGATCCCTTGGCGGTGGAAATGATACCCACTCCATCATTCTTGCTTGGAAAAGCCTAGACAGAGGAGCCTGACAGGCTACGGTCCATGGGGTCATAGAGAGTTGGACACAACTGAGCAACTAAGCACATCTATATGTGCCAGGCAGACTCATTCAGCTAGAAAGAACATGAAACCAATGACGCCAGGATTGAATCCCTGGTTCACGAGGCCAGTTGTTTTTTTCTGCTCTGTTGCTTTATAACACACACCTGGTGCTGAATCGTTGGATCAGTATCTAGTTGCAATAAGCAGAAAATCCAGTTTGAACGAACTTAAGCAAAAAAAAAAGAAGAAGAAAGTGAGGAGAGATTTATTGCCTCTGTATCTGCAAAGTCCATGGGTAGAGTGGCATCAGGCATGGCTTAATTCAAAACTCAAACCAGGTCATCAGGATCTATCTCTTGGCTATTTCCTCTGGGTGGACACAATTTCTAGTTTTAGCCTACTTTATCACAACAGTCAGGCCAGGGGAGAATGGATTTTTAAAAAGCACAGAACTGTATCTCAATGGCACTGTGTGCTCTGACTTATCTGGGGGTGGAAAGAGGGAGAGAACATGCTGGCTTAATTAGTCCACAGTGTGTTTTCCATCCTTGGAATCTAGGGGTGTCATCACTCCCCTAGAAGCTAATACAGCGGGGAGCTTTATAGGCTTAAACAGGAGGAAGGCAGTTACCCCCAAGCAGTTGCCACAAGAAGAGAAAAGGATATGGGTTGGTAAAACCACAGCTGTCCACCATAGTGGCCCGTCCTCTGGGGTTTGATACCTATCAGTTTTGTGAATAAATGCATAGCAAGGAGCTATTATTTATTACTTATGATTATCGTCACAACTTTGTCAAAAATTCTTGTTAAAAAGAACAAGAATAAACCCTCCATTCTTATTCTTATTCCCCCTTAGGAAAATGTCATTTCGGGGTAGACCCATATATCCAAACCACAAAGAACGAGAAGCAATGATTTTATCATCTTATGCTGGAATCTTAATGGTAAGGAAAAGAACATTATTTGCATCTATGAAGATTTTGTATTCACAATGTGCATTTTATATAAAAGAATACTTATTTTGTTTTTCAACCAATATTTCTAAATATTTAAAATTTATTGAAATTAAATTTTTCATTTTTAAAGGTTAATAAAAAGACTGACTTCTATATTGTATTGTAAAAAAAATAAGTATTTAAGGGAAAAAATTACACATAAATAATTGATGTTAGGATACTCTGACTTATCCATTTATTTTGAAGGTACTTATCTGGTGCCCATGCTCTCCAGGCATGGTACTGAATGTGCAGGAGCTGTAATAGTTTTGTTTTATAATAAAAGAAAAGTCATGATATGATCATACATTTTTGTTATTATTTTGTTGTTTAACAGAACAGTATTCCAATTGAGGAAGTGTTTAAAATTTATGGGGCTGGCTCTTCTTCCAGTTCTGGTGCTGCCAAGGTAAGGATGACCTGAGACTATCAACATAACGGAATGTTAGAGAGAATTTCTTTATTTTATAAATTGATAATGTTGTATTTTCAGGCATGAAATAACAGCTTCATATCAAAACATATAAAATCAGATGTAGTTATACTTTACTTGAGTAATAAATCTAAGATGCTTTCACTACATAAAGGACTATACTCATAAAAGCAAATGCATTTTATTAATTCATACATAGAGGCAGCCACTCGAGCACCTTAAAGTCTAGATGCTGTCTCTGTTCCGCATTAACGAAAGTTCTCTCTCACTTACACTTTTCATAATATGGGCCTGGTAAATCCAAGTGCTCCTCTTGTATGATGTACCATAACTTCTAGAATGAGGACAGGATCTGCAATGTTCATTCTCATGAGAAATTATCTAGTTTACTGCTGCCACATTTCTCCTTTCCACAAGACTGCTTGGAATTCAGTCCAGCTGAAGTACTAAAGATCAGGGAGTCCAGGGTGAGTTCTGACTGTGTCCCTTCCCCTCTTTAGGTTTCCATATGCTAATCTTGAAAAAAAGAAAACAAATAGCCCAGAGTATTCTGAATTATCTTTACTATTAGTTCAGGTTTTGCTATTTATGAATATATAAGCATTTACTAAACATTTGAAATATGGGCTTCTGTTTAGAGGTGAACTGCTGATCCCTTCGCCTTTGGATAACCTCTAGAAAAGAGAAGAAGAAAGGGCAGATGGGGTGGGCAGGGTTGGGCAGAGGCGTGGAGTGGGAGGAAGTCAGGGAGGGAAGCCAGGAGAACCCACACAAGGCCGTCTGCTGCCACTGTCACTTCCCTTTGTCCCCACCAGGGTTTGGAAGGGAGGCCAGGGCAGGAGCAGGGCTACGGCCACAGGAACACCGCTGGCCTTGCTGTCTTACCTGCAGACCATACTGCAAACGGTGGGGTCATATAAAGTCAGGAGTCTACCAGGGCCACCTTAGGACTCCAGCATTGACTCAGAAGTGTCGTAACTGAATCCAGTGGTCCTCTCACCTTAGTCCATATGTAAGCTGGCCTGGTCTTGAGACTCAAATTCCCTGGATTATGGAGGAAATCTGTACCTCCTCTCTGATCTCTCTGGTTTCAACTCTTCCATTCATTCATTCAATTGTTATAGTTGTAGGTGCAGGGATATAAGGGTGGGCGAGTCCAAAAAAATCAGTTTCTCATAGATCTCATATCTCATATTGCAGCTGACATGCTTCCTTGGTTGAGGTATAAGGCACCCCAGGACTAATGCTCCTCAGACACCAAATTCTTCTTGGCTTTTGAAGAAAGACTACTTTTTTGTTTTCTTAGAGAGTCAAGCAAACCATGCTGCTTTAATCCTGTTTGACTTTTTCCCTGCAGATTTCTCCCTTCTAGGATTTCCCCCTTTTAGGCTTTCCCTTCAAACCACCCCCCTCAGCACATACACATAAATATCTGAGCCCAAGTCCCTCCTTTTCAGACACTGTGTTTTCTTCCCTTCATCTTCTTTGCCTAGCAGAGGACAAAGGCAGGCAATAGGCAGACCTAGTTGCTTGGTCTCAACTCAAGTGGCCAGAGGACAAATATGGAAAATCACATCCTGGAAGGAAGGGCACCGTGAAGCCCTCCAGTCTTAGCAGGGTTATCCATCAAGCAGGTTTGCAAACATGGGTGTCCAAGTAGCTTGGGTAAAACAGATTCATTAAAGGGGCCAAAATGGAAGGGAGTGGAGATGGATAAATTAGGAGTTTGGGATTAAAATATACACGTTAATATATATAAAATAGATAACTAGCAAGGACCTACGATAGCACAGGGAACTGTATTCAATATCTTGTAGTAACCTACAACAGAAAAGAACCTAAAAAGAATATAAATGCATGTGTATGTGTATATATATATGTGTGCGTGTGTGTGTATATATATATATATGGAAGCCGAAGTGGTACCCTCTGCATATCTGAGGTTGTTGATTTCTCCCAGCAATCTTGATTCCAGCTTGTGGTTCATCCAGCCCAGCATTTTGCATGATGTACTCTGCAAACATGTCAGGCTGGATGAATTGCAAGCTGGAATCAAGATTGCTGGGAGAAACATCAATAACCTCAGATATGTAGATGATACTACTCTAATGGCAGAAAGTGAAGAGGAACTAAAGAACCTCTTGATGAGGGTGAAGGAGAAGAGTGAAAAAGCCAGTTTAAAACTAAATATTAAAAAAACTAAGATCATGGCATCCGGCCTCATTACTGCATGGCGAATAGAAGGGGAAAAGGTGGAAGCAGTGACAGATTTCCTCTTCTTGGGCTCTAAAATCACTGGGGATGGTGACTGCAGCCATAGACAATTGCTTCTTGGCAGCAAAGCTATGGCAAACCCAGACAGTGTGCTGAAAGGCAGAGACATCACTCTGTTGACAAAAGTCTGTGAAGTGAAGGCCATGGTCTTACCAGTGGTCATGTGTGGTTGTGAGAGCTGGATGGTAAAGAAAGCAGAGCACCAAAGAATTGATTCCTTCAAATTGTGGCGCTGGAGAAGACTCCCAAGAGTCCCTTGGACAGCAAGGAGATCAAACCAGTTAATCCTAAAGGAAATGAACCCTGAATTCTCACTGGAAGGACTGATGCTGAAGCTGAAGCTCCAGTATTTTAGTTATCTGATGCAAACAGCTGACTCATTGGAAAACACCTGATGCTGGGGAAGATTGAGTCCAGAAGAAGAGGACATCAGAGGATGAAATGGCTGGATGGCATCACCAGTGCAATGGACATGAACTTGGGCAAACTCCAGGAGATGGTGAGGGACAGGGAGGCCTTGAGTGCTGTGGTCTATGGGGTCGCAAAGAGTCAGACACGACTGGGTGACTGAATAACAACAACTCTGCATATATGTTAAATAAGCAGGGTGACAGTATACAGCCTTGACATACTCCTTTCCCAATTTTGAACCAGTCAGTTGTTCCATGTCCAGTTCTGTTTGTCCACTAAAAAGATGCACAATGTAAGAATTGTGAGTTAAGTTTTATTAGGGGCAAATGAAGATTGCAGCCCAGGAGACAGCACCTCAGATAGCTCTGAGAGACTGCTCCAAAGAGGTGGTGGAGGAAGGTCAATATATAAGATTTTGGTGAAGGGGGAGTTCAGTGCAATCAAACGTTTACTTTACAAAAGGTTTCTGCTAGTCAAGAGGACTGATGTCTCTGTGAAAAGATTTAGTGCTTTTCTAGATATGAAAAGATGTCAGGATCGGGATCAGGAAATCAGTTCCTAAAAATATCTATCTAAAGACGTAGGCACCAGTTTCTCTGAAGCACAGAGTGCTTCACTCTCCACCCTTTAACTCCCTCCAGGGTGTGTTGACGCTCAACAGCTGCAGCGACACAGGGCTCAATCTCCGCAGAGGCAGATGGCATGCCCTTGGCAAGTGCCAATTTGTAGTTGACAACATAGACTACATAATGACCAACTCTGAAGGAAAATAAATCATATCCTCAGAAAGGGGGTTTTGTCAAACTCAAGTGCACGTGCCCGATACCAAGTGAGGTCAAACAGCCAAAACATCAGTTTGGAGCAGAGATAGGTTTATTACAGGGCGGAGCAAGGAGAACACAGCAGTTTATGCTTAAAGACCCAAACTCCCCACGGGTTTCAGGGAAGAAGCTTTTACAGGCAAAAGTTGGAGGGTCAGGCTCCAGGGTGTGTAACCCGCCTCTGGTTGGTTGGTGGGGAGGTAACTGATGCTGTTCCGGGAATTTCAGTCACCAGCCTTCTGGCTCCAGTCAGTCTGGGGTCGCTGTGCTTCTGTTCAGCCTGCGATTATTATCTTCCACCTGGGTGCTGGTCTTCATTTCTGCAGAAGAACTCAGAGATTTGTGTCAGATTGTAATGCAGGTCCCCTGAGGAGGAACCAGGCCCAGTCCTCATAGCCGCCCTACTGTTTCTTTCTGCCTAAGTCACTCCCCTAATTACTAACTGTTTGAATCTGCTCTTTGGAACTTGAGGAATGTCTGGGAGGCTGATGCTTTTTTTTCTACAAACAGGAAATGAGCCTCATGGTCTCAGGCTCCATAGGATCCTGTTTGGTGTCAATCCCCACCCCCTCTTTTTTTTTTTTTTTTTTTGATACTCCTCAACCTTGAGTGGAACAGGAGTTGGACAAGCTGGGCAATAATGTTTTGGATAGATTGGTTAATCATAAACTCAGCAGAGGAACTTAGTTTTAGGGGTATGGAATTTCAGGGGCTTTCCTTCAAAGACCTGAGTTTGTTTATTGTTACAGGTTATGAGTGTCCTGTACATGAAAGGCTGTTATGTGTAAGAGTTAAGCATGAGGATTCTAAAATCAGGTAGCCTGGGATCCAATCCCAGCTCTACTAGTTCAAACAGAATAATCCAGAGCAAGTTCTCTAAACTCTAACAGCCTCAATTTCATTTGTAGAAGCAGGAGCCAGAAGCTGGGATTGCTATGGGAGATGAGGTGAGTTACATCAGTAAAGCCTTTAGTGGTTGGGACCTGGTGACCTCAAAACAATAGCCATGGTTAAGGTTCTGGTACTCAGGGAGTTGGAGGTGTGTCTGATTCCCTCTATATTCCTCTAAATCAGGATTTCTCAACATTTTGAACCAGATAATTTGTATGTAGGGGGTGGAGTTGGGGCTGTTTAGCGCATTGTGAGCTGTTTAGCAAAATTCCTGGCTTCGACCTGAAACTGCCTCATATTGGGACTTGAACCCATGTGCTGGAACTAGAATCTGGCCAAAACCCTGCCTGGAACTCTAACCCATATGGCTGGAACTTGAACCCAGTCAAAACCCACAGTACCTGGTGTCAGGACCTAATGAAGCTCTGGTTTTTGATGTCTCATCAGAAAGAATCCAGTGAGAGACAAAGTGATAGTAAGAAGCAGATTTATTTAGAGAGAAACACACTCCACAGACAGAATGTGGGCCATCGCAGAGGGTGAGTACAGCCGCCTTGAAATGTGGCGTGGTTAGTTTTT